AAAATATCATTAGTGACGTTTTGAGGTTGTCATTTTTTTTCCTTCAGTTATTTAAACAACTAGAGAAATGTAACCATGAATTAAAGAAGTATAGCCATGTTAATAAGAAAGCTTTAGATCAGTTTGTTAATTTCTCAGACCAAAAAGAGAAACTCATGAAAAGAAAAGAAGAAATTGACAGAGCTCATGAGGTAAGTGTATTAGCGAACTGTTGTTTTAAATGAACTTGCATTTACTATCAAGTAGTTTATATCCTGCCTACTTCATACATTGTTTGAAAGCCAAATAACGAGGTCAGGCCAAACTGTACAACAGCCATGAATTTAGTTTTTGCAAAACATTTTTAAGGGTTCTATTATTTTCTGCATTTTTTCAAGTCCCCATTTTTGAGTAAGATTAAGTTAAGCTGGTAACAGATGAAATATAATAATTACATTTAAATCATTGAGCTATACATGTTGGTTTTGATTATTTCAGTCTATATTAGATCTTATGAGTGCTCTAGATCAAAGAAAATATGAAGCTATTCAACTTACATTTAAACAGGTTTGTTGATTAGTTATGACTTAGGAAATTAGGAAAAAAAATCTGTGAAATTTATTTTTGTTTGTAATACATTTCATTATTTGACCTATTATTATATGAATGTTTATGAAAGAGCAAATTGTCAAATTTTTAGATAATCTTTTTAGGATATTTTTACTCAGATTTCATCAATATTTCACAGAGAGCTTCATAGAAATGCATTGATATATTTGTTTTGTTTTTATAGGTGTCTAAATATTTTACTGAAATCTTTAAGAAGTTAGTACCACAAGGACATGCTGTATTAGTGATGAAGAAAGGAGAGAGAGATATGGATGATGTAAGAACCATCAGTTCAGATCAGATAATTTAGTTAAATATGTTGTCAAAACTGATCAAATTAGAAATTTGAATATCAGATCATTTGAATTAAGTCTATAAAACATTAATGCTTTGACCATTACAAGCTTGTAATTTCAAAATTGTTATTCTTTCTTAAATGTATTCAAATTGGCTGTGATTGCCTAAATCCAGTTATATAAAGTTTTTGGTTACTGAGGTTGTTATCCTAAATATATATATAATATCCTTCATATATTAGAAAGAAATAACTTAAACCATGTTTTATATTTGATTATTATTAGGCTGAAGATACTGGTAGTACATCACAAGATATACCATTAGTTGAACAATTTACTGGTGTCTGTATTAAGGTTAGTTTGATTTAGAAGAAATTCATTCTGCTTGTACATTACTATCTGATTGAAAAGCTATTGTACTCAGAGGTTTTCTAGTTTGTTTTATGTGTATCAGAGCCTTTCATGGGTTCTATTTGCATCACCTCAATATTCACCTCAATGGTTTTATAGAAATGGCTAAATGACACCACTATAACAAAAAGGGTGCTAATAACTAATTTCTAAGAACCTTTGCAATGGCTAAGTAAAAAATATCACTTAGTAACAGTGTAAGACCCAAAGATGTCAATTTCAATGGTGCAAATCAGTGCTATTAGTGTCCCTGATAAACAAAAAAAAACTTCTTACAATTTTTGTTGATACAAATCCATACAATCTTAAATCCCTTAGTGTACCAAGCCAACCATAGTGCTGTTATTCTTGTTATTGTAGGTATCATTTACTGGTAATAAAGCTGAAATGAGAGATATGCAACAATTATCTGGTGGACAGAAATCATTAGTAGCATTAACATTAATCTTTGCTATACAGAAGTGTGATCCTGCTCCATTTTATTTATTTGATGAAATTGATCAAGCGTTAGATTCCAGTCATAGAAAAGCTGTTGCAGGTTGGTGCCAATATCATATTAGATACTTAAAAAGATTCAGATGCTATGACTAAAATATATTGATGACGAACTATTGAGTCCTTTTGGTTAAGTACAGTAGAACAAAGATATTTCTCTGGATAAGTAAAATAATGCGTTTGACAATAGTTTGATCATAGGGGTGTCTGACTGCTGTATTCTGCTCGTTCAGGATTCATGTAATCAACTGAAAGTTCAATACAATTTGAAACACTGTTCAGATTGCGTTGACCTGTCCCGAAAAAAAGTAGGTGTAGACAGAATTCAAAATGGCGGAAAGAGGAAAAGTAAATTTTGAATGTTGAATTCGTATCGTTCTAGATTTGGAACAGGCAGATCCTGATCAGAACTAACCCATCGAATGCTACTGTCGAGGTTTTATAATAATTTTGTATGAATTTGATGAATATGAATCTAGAAGTAGTTGCATATTGTAATATAGTTATTAATATTAATCAATGTTTGTCTATTGGTAGATATGATACATGAATTATGTCAAGATGCCCAGTTTATTACCACAACATTTAGACCTGAATTATTACAACATGCTGATAAATTTTATGGTGTTAAATTCAGGAACAAGGTAAAGAAATATTTTTTGATTATGGCTCAAAAGCACATCTCTGCATTTCGTGGGTGACCGCTTGAAACCTTGCATAACGATATATGACGCAGAATTACTTTTTGAGAAAAACGCAAAAAACTATCTGTACGTGTATTTTGTTAAAATCTTTTTTATTATTTTTTACCGCTATGCATGGTTTTCACTCTTTAAAAATATAAACCTAGTATAACAATTTGAATTCTCCGGCCTATTGAACCAAAAACTTGTATAATAATACAATATACAAGGTTTTTCATTTTCATCCGCAGAAAAGGAACATTGAACCTTGTTTAATAATATAATCTGACTGTTTATATACGTGTTATTTAATTAGTGCTTTTTGAGTTATTTACAATCAAGCTAAGAATACGAGGTTTTGATCACAAGATCCGCACTTTTATGAGCTTTCGAACTGTACCAAAATGTCAAAATGACCAAATATGGCATATACCAGGTTTCAAGCGGTCACCCACGATATAGTCGCTAAGTGTAATTAATGTTCAACGGAGACAGGTTTACCATCCGTTTGACCAATTGTACATTTATATCAGAAACAAGAATTAACATATATTCAAGACTCAAATCAAACCCTGAAAATGGCAAACCTATGGCCTATAATATAATGAATATTTGTATTTTTTTAGGTAAGTCATATAGAATGTGTTTCCAGAGAAGAAGCTGAAGATTTTGTAGAAGATGATACAACTCATGGATAAAATATTCATTATTATCTTTTATCATTATAAATTATATATTCATTGTTGTCATTTCATATACATTATCATTATCATTGTATAATCTTCAACACTATAGTTACATTGGTTTATATTAACTCCCATTTTTGTGAAAGTCAATGAGGAAGTCATCCTTAATGGCAGCTATTTCTCCAGGTATGTTAGAATTTGGTTTATGGGTAAACTTAACTCTATATTATGTTCAAAGAATAAACTTAAAGGGATTGTACAAAGGTTTTCTAAATTTTTCATGTGTATCAGGGACACTGATAGAATCGATTTGTACCATTCCAAATTTCAGTCAGACGTCCATGGTTCTTGCAATGACACAAATACTAAGCATTTCAAGGTGTCATAATCCTCTTTTTGGAATGATTTTGCAAGACACAGACTTATTGAACATTGGAATTATGCCAATCAGTGCATCCCCATACATATAAAAAAAATTTTGAAAACCATTTTACAATCCCTTTAATGCCATTGTCAAAAAACTAATAACTGAGACTTTTTAAGTATTTTTCACTGCCATTCCCTTTACTGTTAAGAATTCAAAACCTATGACAAAACAGGCTAAATTAGCTTTCATAAAAGATAAAATAAAATATTTGCAGAGTCTAATACAACTTTCATAATAACCTATAGATCTGTGTAAATAAGCCATTGTGTATATTATTATTCATTTCAACTTGTAAATTATATAGCATATTAGGTATTTTATTGTCATTTAGCTTTGAAAATTAGGACTTTATATTATTTGTTAATGTTTTTTTATGTGTTTGTTGTATTCAAAATCATAGTTCAGTTGCAATATTCTTTCTTCAAGTACTGTATGTTATTTGTCAAGTAACACATTTTTTATCAGGTTTTGTTGCCATTTTTGATTGAATTCCATGAAAATAGAAGCATACAGAACCTTAATATACTTAATATAGGCTGTGTTTCTTTTTCAAAATTTTTAAGAATTTTGAATCATGTAGCAAATAGTGAACCAAAAGGCAGCATTTGAGTCTTTTAAAGCCTAAAGCATCTTAAAAATGGTTTGCTCAATATTTTCATTATTTCGAATCCTTAATTAAATTTGCTTAAGTGACTTAAGCAGTTTTAACACTTGAGTTTAAATGAAATAAAAGTCATATACCCAGAATTCCAAGTTATTTGAAGTCACCTGGTTGCAAAGTTGTTTTCAGTAAATTTTCATAGACTTACTGAAATAAATAGTGCTACTAATTCAAATCACCTATTTTTATCTCTAATGTTATTCTTAGTGCTAGAAACCAATATGTCACGAAATTCATTGTAAATTTATATCTGATATTAAAAGTTGTCAACATTTCAACTGTTTGTACTTGGCTGATTGTGATTGTTTTCGATCAGGGGATTATGTACCAGATTTTGCTGAAAACGTGATGGAAAATTTAATAGAAAGGAATATTTTTTGAAATAACATCAGTTTTAATAATATGCTGTATGTGTTGCTTTGAAGTTAAATTAAATGGATATGGCAGAGTTGTTCTGTACGGTATTGTTTTAAGTTTTTATTTGTGGGCTAAATAAAATAATGTCGAAAAGAGTTACATCCCTTGGAATGCAAGAACTTATATAATATATTTTAGAAATTCACATGGAATCATTGCTGTGTTGATAAAAGCATTTCAAATTTTTATATCTTAGAAGGCAACACATTACCCAAAGCTCCATATTTTTACCATTGATCGATTTGATCCATATAAGTATCGAGATTGATATTCCTTGCGTCTGATTCTACAAACTCGCGTCAAATTCTACATCTGAATAATGGCTGAACTTCCGGATTTTATTGAACGGTCATAAACGAGATATATGATCTCCAAATTATCTAATTACAAATAGAAACCTGCACGAAAATGTCGAATGCTTCAAAAACAGAATCGTCCATAGACTCTTTACATGAAAATGGAAAAAACAAAACAAATATCTACTGTCAAAGATGTCCAAGTTTAGTTTTATCTTCAGAAAATGCAGTTCTCACAGAAAAAGAGGTGGGTAATTCTTGTGCATGTAGCTTTGCTCCCTCATCTTAGGTGCTTAGGCGACTCTTTTTGATAAGGACGACCTTAACTTACGCTAGTCTCATTTTTTGATACTGTGGTTCAGTTCCTATTAATCGTGGGTATCAACTTATTAAAGCAACATATGATGAGGCCCACCTAATTTTAAGTCAATCAAACAAGTGCAATGCTCTGCCTATTCATTGTGGTATATGAGAACGAAATAGATTTTGAAGGATTTGTTCCTTACAGTTATTTTGACTTACAAAAAAACCTTTTTGAATACTTGATAATGTGTGGCTCTCTTCTGATAGTGAAAACATATTATGTAAAACGAAACTGGGAAAGTGGTATTATAAATTAAATGGATAGAAGTGAATCATAGATGATTTGTTTCCTGACCATTAGTAAGGTTGAATATAATGAATTGGAAATCCATTAACTAATCATTACATTATTCAATAGATTTACTTTATAATGAAGTGAATGGATGTGTTTTTGTTGATTTTTCAGTTTTATTTACCATATATGCACAAGAAGAAAGATAAAGAGCCATTCGATGGTGAAACACTAAAAGATTATTGGGTAGTGCAGGACATGTACACATTTGATAATGTGGGTTTCTCAAATACTGTGGGCACAACAAAATATCTGATTTGTGCTGATTGTGAAATTGGACCTATTGGATGGCATGATACAAGTGATAAGAAAGCATTCTACATAGCTGTTGATCGTGTTAAACATGGATCTTAGATTGAATTTATTAGATAACTAGTCATTTTAAATAAGAATAAAATTAACTCCTTCTCATCAAAAAATAACATCATTGTCAAAAAATTAATGTTTGAGCATCTCACATGGTAGCTTTTGCCAAAAGTAATGTAATGTAATCACGCAAAAGTAATTGTTACGGTAAAGTTATTGACCTCAGGCCTGTACTTTTAAGCCATCTTACATTGTCTAAGCAATTAGACTTACTTTTGCCTTGAGTGGTATTTTGACCACATGTAATTCTTTTTATATATGCAATTACTGCATATTTGAGCTACAAAATTAAACAATATATAAGCTTATTTGTATTGATGAATAGTTCATATTATAGCATTGAAATCATGTACGGTATATGCAGAGATATGTATAAACTCATGTGAACAGACTTTCATTTATTACTTGTTGTAAACGGTATTTTACATGTGTTGCCAAATTATGTTATGTATTATAGTATGGTTAGTACCAAGAAGTTAAATGTATATAATCAGAGTATCTATTTAAGAAATCATTCAATGAAACTTTTAATGAAATTTTTGATAATCATCTTCACAATGTCAAGCTATTAGGAACTTGGTCTTATATCTTGACTATACTAACCTACTTTCTTGTATCACGGAATGCAGTGATTTGATTGGATTGTACCCTAGCAAATACAGCCAAGCATAGCCATCAACAGACAGACTTACTATTGTGGTTTATTATTGACAGAATTTCCGTTGGGAAACTGATTGGCTTTATTAGCTAACATACAAACCGACCCAAATGGCTGCATTTACAAACTTACAAGAAAGGTGACTTGTGCAGTCAAGGATTAAGATGGAAGTTTTTAATACCTTGACCATTGTGTTCTATTGGTTCAGATTTTGTAAGTATTTTCAAAGCAATGTTATGGCCATGTTCATTCATAAATCCTTTCAATTTAAATTTTACAACCACAATCAATTAATTTTACTCATTCTTGAAGATCATTATCCTTGCTAGTTTTGTGGCATTCTGTATTTCGTAAAACTTGATTTGTTGAGACCTCACGAACAATGCTTCACTGTAAAATAATGGTAGAGGAAAAGGTCACAGTTTGTAAAATATTGTTTATTTATTAGGCCAAAAGTTCAGTATTAAAGTCCACAATTAGCATTTCAACTTGCTGTTGATTTTCTTTGTGAAAAAAAAGGAGCTTATATTTAATATAGAAATCATGCTTTAAAAGTATCAAATTTAAAAAATGCCAATTTGATGTATTTTCTCATCTTGCTCACCTTTATCAATCAAAAACTAAAATTTCATTAAGTACTGTTATATTTTGTGAGGTCACAAATTTCCCATAAAAACGAAAGTCTTCATCTGTTTGGCGTTAAGAGTCGTGTGAGTTTTGACTGCAACTGATAACACCTTGTGTTGCATAATTATGTTGTTTTTGCAACTTTCAAAGAGATATTCAAAGCAACTCTCTGTGAATGTTATTTTGAAATGGCATGTTTTTGATTAATTCAGGGGTTTTCAACCTTTTTCTTTATACCACCTCTTTCAGGAACCTTGATCAATTACATTACCCCCCTTCCCCCTGTAAGTCCTTACTATTCTGTGATTTCATCTGAAGTTTTCCCTGCCATTTGTTTCATGTGGAGAACAAGCCTGACAGAATAGAACAACTTATATTTGTCAAAAAATTTGGCAAAACACCTTATTACCCCTCTCACCCCCTCCCATAACTTCAAAATTACCCTCAGGTTGAAAGCTCCTGGGTTAGACGATTTCATGGAATGATAGTCATTGTTTCTAACAGTGTAGTCAATTATTTGAGACTGGTGACTGATATATTCTCATTAAGTATTGTTCAAACTTGGGATATGAGAGTGATGTAATTTGTAAGCAATATGGTTGAAGTATAAATCCAGGTTAATGATTTTGTAGACTCAATAGTAGTTGGGTTTAAGTTTGTTAAATGATGTAGATATTTATTATCAGTTGTTAAATAAATCATGTTAAAAATGTTATTTTTACTTTTCAAAGTTGAAGCTTATTTGTTAACTTAGGGGTCTGGGAATGACACCTTTGATTTTGCAACTTCATTTCCCCTTGTAAGTGATTTAGTTAGCTAGCGTGACTTTGAAAAAACATCTATATTCTTGCAGATGGAAAATGAATTGAGGTCCCATGTACTACAAACTATGCATGTTAACGATCCCTTGATAGTTGAAAATAAAATATAGATAGGCTAATGCTGCTGTCCTCGGAACACATCCCCTTTGTTGCATTATTCTGATAATTCCATGTATTTTGGTCAATTCTTTTAGATGCTGCAGATGCACATCTTGCTCAAAAGACATTAATTGTATTGAAAGCTGTCGCCATAACTTTACTCCTATGAAATAATAAAACAATTGATTGAAATGATATTTAATAAATAGATTCCTAATATAACAATTATAACAGCACATAAATAAATAAATAATTAATATTAATCACAACAATTTTCTAATATATGTATGTCACAAGACAATAAAAATATGAATAAAATACATAAATGGTAATAAGTGATAAATTGAAAAGAAACATGTTAAAGTGATGTGCATTATGTATTAAAATTTTAAATAAATTTGTAAATAAAGAATACATTGTATCATAGTTTGCTGCCTTATAAAAAGTCAAAAAAGGTTTTGGTTCTAAAAGTTCTAAAATTTAAAAGTTTTAAAATTGCACTTCTATAGGGAAATGATGTATCACAGTTGAATATGATGGTTCAAACTAAAACATTCCTTTGTAAACTTTCATCTTTCAGTATTACTTTTTCAGCAGATTACATAACTATCATTCTTTACATTATATTATGTGGTTTCTTTGATAGCTGCCTGTACATAATGTACAGTTTCTGTTAGAGCAACATGTACATAATGTACAGTTTCTGTCATAGCTACATGTACATAATGTACAGTTTCTGTTAGAGCAACATGTACATAATATACAGTTTCTGTTAGAGCAACATGTACATAATGTTTCTGTCATAGCAAATGTACATAATGTACAGTTTCTGTTAGAGCAACATGTATATAATGTACAGTTTCTGCTATAGCTACATGTACATAATGTACAGTTTCTGTCATAGCTACATGTACCATTTCTGTCATAGCTACATGGACATAATGTACCGTTTCTGTCATAGCAACATGTACATTATGTACAAATTCTGTCATAGCTACATGTACATAATGTACAGTTTCTGTCATAGCTACATGTACATAATGTACAGTTTCTGTCATAGCTACATGTACATATTGTACAGTTTCTGTCATAGCTATGTGACCATAATGTACAGTTTCTGTCATAGCTGTATAGTACATACTGTACTGTTGTTGGTAAAGAATCTCAGTCGTCGGTTGGTTTAGGAGGTAAAATAACATCTTTTGGTTCTGTCATGTCAATTCTTATACCTGGAATAAGAAAAACACAAGGTTTAATCTTAATTCCTATATTTATACCCATTGATTCAAATATACGCTCCTGAATGCAGTTATAAGATCTCTTTATAATAAATGCCATTTACTGCTTTAAGGTATTGCACAGGAGTGAGCAAAATGATGTTCTATGTTGTCAATGACTATTACTTACCTATATATGAGGGAAATCTGGGAGTACCAGAATTAGTATATTCCTGAAATTTATAAGTGATAATGGTGCCTTTTTTTGGAGGCTTTCTTCGGTCTGCATCTGTTAACCTGTAAAAACAATAATCTTCTTTAGCTTTTATTTCTAATAAAAGTTAAAATGATGATCTATTTGCCTTATTATCCTGATGCTGGAAAGGGCAGTCAGCGCTTGGTTGATACAGAGGTCAGGCAAAGGTTAACAGAATGAAAAGTCAAGAAGGACAGTGTTAGACCGTACTGTAGTGGTTACGTACAAAGCTAATAGCTAATAAAACAGTCCATCTTATTTTTATTGACTGCCTTTCTGAGATACTTAGCTGCTCTGCAACAGGGCTTAACAACTTGTTATATGTTTTCTGACAGCTGCTTTCGGGGCATGCATATGTTACCTTTGCCTAGCAAGATATCTTTTCCAAAGAAATTGGAAAATAAATGATATTGAGAACATACCCAGATCCAACATGGAATTGTTTTCCATTAGCCATTTCTACTAACAGAGCACCAACAGCATTGTGAAATCTTCCAGTACCTGGTTTATACCCAATTACGCGTGCCTGGAATATAATATGCATAATTTATTAAAAGTTAACACAAGATCTTTCAGAACAGTTGTTAAAAGTACAAATGAGCTTTGATCATTTTTTTTTTTTTTTCACTTAGCATCATCTACAACAAATCAAAGAAATTCTAAACAATGTTTTTATTTAGTAATTTGAAACATTACTTACCTCTGCATCATGAAATTTCTTAATCTTGAGTAAAGTTTTAGATCTGGAACGTTCATATTTAGATTTTGGTTGTCGAATCATCAAACCTTCGCCATGTAATTTCAATATTTTCTTCATTTCTTCCTGAATGTGTTCTTTTCCCTTACATTTTGTTTGTTCGCATAACACAGCGTATTGGGGGCTGAAACGATTTCAAATTGTGCTATAAATATGGCTTGATAGATCTGATTTGATAGAACATCTATATAGTGGGCAAGATTATGCATTTCTTTGGGTCTTTCAGACCTCAATCAATTTGTTTTGAGGTACAATAAATAGTAATATAATACAACTTTAATTTCCTTAGACAAAGTATATCGTCATAGCATTTTGTTAGTGTCATTCATTTTTGGATTTCGGATAAGATGCTAACAGCCTATAATGGCTCTGTTTGCAAAACTCACCTTTCAGCATCAAAAAATTCTCTCAAAGAACTATATCTTTCTTCAAATGGTTTTTTCTCAAGATTTGGAGCATCAAATACATGATATTTAACTTTCTTCCAATCGTCACATTCTTGGTTTTTCACAATTTTAACTGTAGATTGAAATTTACCTCTTCCACCGAAGAGTTCACCATCTAGATGCAAGTCTTTTGGTAAATCCTGTGGTAAACCAAAAATAATTGAGTGAATGATCAAAATCCACATTTCAGATGACAGTTTCTAGTTCTTAAGGCTATCTTTATTTTTGTTAGTATCCTTTTTTCTGATTTCTTTCGATTTAATTTTGAAAATCACGGACTTAAATCAAAAGAATGGACACAAACCTTAGTAAACCATTGTGGAGCTATGAAACAATTACCCAATCTTGAATAAAAACAACTGAAATAAAAAACAATATTGAAATATAACATCAAAATATATTAGTAAGGAATTATATTGTGTGCATGTGTTTATGTATTGGCTACGTGCAAGCATGTTCTTGTCTTACATTTGTGAAATATAATTTAATTAAAGTTTTGGACTTAAGAAACAATCAATTAAGGTGTTCACTGTAAATTCAAATTTATAAATGTGCTTACTTTCCATTCCAAAACGCCCTGACACCATCTAATTTTTCACTCATCCACCATCCTGTTGGGTCATTAACTCTGAAATAAGAAAAACAACTTCAGTATAAACAACAAAACAATTACCTGTAACACTTTTCACAAATTATGCACCATGTGCAAATGTGCATAGTTCTTGGAAAGTTAACTTCCATTTTCAAAACTAGATGTCCTGATGAGGGTTGTTTATCTGCAACATGTGTAATCACATTTAATACTTATATATGAACTTACTTTTCATCATATTTATGAGCAAGTAGTAAACTGACATTGATATGAGAACGTATAACAGTTTTTTTAGGTTTAGCTACTGTAATTCTTGATTTCTCAAAGTCTTCACCATTATATTCCATCAGATGTTTACAAGTTCTTTCTGCTATAGGATCTGATGATGATACCCAACTGGTGCAACTAAAAGAAGAATAAAAATATTAGATATCTGATTGATCATTTTAGATTTACTCTTATGGACTTCATTTCAGATTTATTGACTTCGGACATTAAAAGCCTTGGCTTTTGTCAGATTTTGGTTGTTTCTATGATTTGGACTTTCTTCGACTAATTAACAAACTTTAAGTAGAAAAAAACTCTGCAATTCAATGATTTTTCACTTAGTTTCAACTGAATCTATTAAAAATTAAGACTTACGAGCATGAATAATTGTCACCCATTCTCTTCAATTTAAATCCAGAATCAAATTCTACTGTTTGACCATCCATTAGAGCATTTAGTAATTCTTTAGCTTTTCCACGAGTTTTTTTATCTACTATTAAAGATACGTAGAATAATTACTAATATGATGGCAGATAATGTTATTTTTTTCATGAAAAACTGTTTTTATTCGTCTATATTTGACCGTTGTTTAGGTGACTTTAAATGCAGCACATACATGAACGAAATATAGTCAATTGTTTAGGGGAGAAGCTGGCCCAGAATCTATTTTTTTCATTTAATCACAGAAAAATATACAACTTGGCAAACATGATGCAGCATGTATATTGTACATTGTATAGAGAGATGTTTTCATGAATCGTTTTGAAGACGGTCCTCGCCAAGATAACACAGTGTTGAGTGGGATCTGGGACTTTTAAATTGAGGTTTCCAGAATTAATTAATGAATTGGATAGATCAAAGTTATAAAACTCACCAATTTCTTCAACCTCATCAGGAATGTCATCGCCAGGATGCCAAAATTCTAATAAATGTTTCTGTTCTTTCCTAAAACATTTCAGCCAATATTTACACTTCTCTTTCTTACTTTTAAACTTAATGGTAGGTAAATCTGTTGATGATGATGATGCTGCAGCTGCAGATGTTAATGATGATGCTGCTGTAGATGATGAAGCTGCTGGTGAATCTGTTTTTTGTTTCTTTGTCTTAGAACTTCCCATTACTTCATCCTAAACAATAAAAATTGTTAGAATTTAACCCTTTGAACACTAAGTGTAAATGAAATAACACGTCATATACCCTGAACTCCAAGTAATATAACTTAAAGCATTGATATTAACTTCAGTTAGTAATGGCCGGTATACAGGTGGCTTGGGTATATATTGTGTTAGTGTGTGCCCACTAAACCAGCCGCTTGGGTTGAAAGGGATAAATCAGAATCTCTGTATAGAATCTAGAAAGGAAATACTTTCAAGAAACAAGATAATTTTTCTGATTCTTTTACTGAGATTTGAAAAAATAGCGAAAGGTGTAAATTGATTAGATTTACAGATGAGATTTTAAGAAATACATACCTCATCATCACTAATTTCATGGACCTTTCTTTTTTGACCATCACCTGCTCCAGATACATCTTTCATATCTACATCATTATCATCTTTACTTTCATCTTCTGTAAAATAACACCCGATATTATTTACATACACCCAAATACCTTTAACGTACACAGTGTTGCAATCAATTCAAGGTTATAGTTATCTATCCAGACTAGGGGTATTTTAATTCAATCACTCATATTTTAAACTTACTTTCATCTTTATCTCCAGGATGAATATAATCTCTCAAATGGACTTTATTTTTTCTGTAACATTTATCCCAAAAAGCACATTTTGTCCTCATGGATGCCATTTCTGAAAAATAAAGAGATAACTAGTTTGAATATAGGAGTCTTAACATAAGGATTTTATCTTTCTCTAATAAACTTTGTATGTTGATCATTACGGTAGGGATAAATTAAATTAATGTTACATTCCAGAGCAAAAAAGGTCCGAAATTTACACTTTTATGTGTAATACAAAGCTATAATATATATGTAATCCATGAAATAGGCAGTTTAATTCAAGATTTAGGCTACTGGTCATATTATTACATCTGCATTAGTACTGTGAAAATTAATGAGAATATAGCTTTCAAATGTAGAATAGATTGCGAAATAGTTTACCCTTGAAATTAATTGTCAACTAAGCAATTATATTTTACTTGATTAAATAAAATTTTGTTATTAATTGCTTGGCATTAAATAGAAGTGTTTTGGGTAAGAGCAAAAATTCAGAATGTGTTATTTTAAAAAAATCTGTCATCGTCTACCTTGATCGGCAAATTGTGTCTATCTTGTTGTGGGTTGTGATGAAATATAACAACTTGACCAATCGTTGTTCATTATATACTGTAAGCTTAGACGTTATACATGTTCAGACTCGTACTGGTCGACTCCATTTTGCTAAAAATGATTTCTTGACAGCTGATTAAACACACCTGAATACAGCTCTTATGTCTAAAATTCAGGCAAATGTTCTTCAATTATCAACTATCACGACATTAGAACTAAACAAAGTTGGAAAAGTTTCGTTTAGTTCTCAATTTGTTTTGGATTTTTAGAAATAAACATTGGGGTCATTCGAAATCATACCAAAATGGGTGTGGCAAACTAAAAATAGTAAACAAGACACGTCATTTCTAAATTTAGCTCGTAAATATATTTTGTGACGTCAGAGGATTCCCTCACAAAATCAAAGGACTCTCTTCTTCTTGATCATCCAGACAGAAAAAAACAATAATAAAAAAGTTTACAGAGATTTTAGAATTTTCAAGTCAATAGGGTTAAAGCTTTGTGATGTTACATAAATGGATTTATTTGAAAAGAAAATCTTCCCGGATACTCGTTGCTTTATTTGCTGTGAGTTTGTTAGGAAAATATTTCTAGTCTGGATGACAAAGGAACAGTTTGACCTTGTGACCTACTTACTATTTTAAGTAACACAATACTGCTTGGTCATGATGACTGATGAAATGAAGTAAACAAATAAACGATCTGAGGCAACGTTAGATATCACTTCAACGCGTTTTGCTCTCAGGGAAAGAAATGACACTAACTGAGGCATCGAGAACAAGTAGTGGGGAAACCTCTACTGAGCGTAGGTAAGGAATGATGATTTTTATCTCTTCAACAAGAGTTCCGTCTTCGTAGTAACCTACTTTTTCGGTTACTGTTAGGTAACTCCATACTTGATTTACCAGACGCTTCAGAGATCCGGACTAGTCTTAGAAACAAGGTACGCCATGTTTTTGTTAGATCTGTACTAGACCCTACCACATAATATTTTTAAAATTCTCATTTGTAAATCCATAAATCTATTGCAGGAAGTAAATCCTGATTTTCAAAAATGTAACATTAGGTCTGGACAAAAGAAGCTTAAATAGTTACCTCCCTTTGACCGATGATCGATGCGAACTTACACCTCAAATTATTTAAGTTCATCGACATACGCCTAACTTTATTCGTCTGGTCTAAGTTTATTCAATTTGATTGTGTCGTCAATTTTGAATGATGAACTTTTTCTGTAATAGTGCCCCTGTGCGAGCCGTTTTTAGTGTGTTAAATGTTGTGTAAGTAAAGATTAAGACCCTGGAATATTGCCATTATTGGACTAGTTTGAAAAGCCAGGTTTAAGCCATTTAATTTTAATGAGGGTCATGATAATGCAGTAAACATACTGAATGATACAATTTTCTCTTTACTTGTAGATCAAGGTGGTTGTCACCAAGAGAGTGGTTTAGATGGGTTCCCACATCTCCAGAACTCTTAGAAAAGGTGGAAGAAAAGATTTTAACTTGTAAGTAACTGCTTTGCAGCCATCCCTACTTAGACTTAGGCTACTACTAGCAGTGCCTTTTTTTTTTTTGGTTCATTTGCAAAAGGAAAATTGTAGTATCTATAGTTTGGCAGAGGTGATGACAATCTAAATAATACCCACACCATTTATAATGATCTTCCATGAAGATATCACTGATGCCATTATTGTTAACGGTAACAAAATTTGAAAAAAACACCCCATAATGATTCAAGAATTCTTTAGCATTTGATTTGAATAATTTTTCAGGTTGTAAAAATATATCAGAACAGAAATTTGTGAGTGGTAAAGTAAATAAGTTATGGACCATTGTTGTAAACAAAGAGAAAGAAAAAGAAAAGACACCAATAGTGATGGTACATGGTTTTGGTGGAGGTGTTGGATTGTGGATACATAATTTAGACAGTTTATCTGAAAAACGAACAGTTTACGCTTTTGATCTGCTAGGTTTCGGACGAAGTTCACGTCCAGTTTTTAGTCATGATCCTGAACTAGCAGAGAATGAATTTATTGATGCAATTGAGGAGTGGAGAAAATCATTAAATTTAGAAAAATTTATTTTAATTGGACATAGTTTAGGTGCCTTCTTAGCCAGTTCTTATACAATAAAATACCCAAAGAGTGTTCAACATCTGATATTGGCTGATGCTTGGGGATTCCCAGAGAAAGCTCCTGCAAGTCAACAACAAGGGCGTTTACCCAGCTGGATACGTTTATTAGTAAAAGTTTTGACACCATTTAATCCACTAGCTGGTTTGAGAGCTGCTGGACCATGGGGTAAGTAATATGATTCACTTTCTTCTAGGCAAATATATATTTTATTCACAAGTCAGTTAGTACAGTACAATAGTAAAATAGGCACACGTCATTTAGGTACCAGTACAATCTTCATTTAGGCACAGTGATTTAGGCCCGTATCCATTCAGGCACACTCGTATTTAGCATAATGTAATCTCTATCACACTTTTAAATCCTAAAAATCATCATATGTTCCAAATAAAAGGTGTGGCAAAATGACTGCCTAGAAAATGTTACGCCTATTAATGACCGTTTTATCATAGTAAAAATCAAAAAAACAGAATTATTAATACCGGTACTATTCAATGTAGGTTTCCAATGTGAGATGTTTTTTTAATGACGTTTGTTTCTTTTTTCAGGGCCAGGTCTTGTAAAAAGATTTAGACCAGATTTACAAGACACATTTTCAGAGGTTTTTGATGATGATACAATATTCACTTACATCTACCATTGTAATGCCCAGACACCAAGGTTTGTTATTCTTTTGTATTTTGAATAAAGCTGTTCAGTAATAAAAAAGTATGAGAACTTTATGTATAATATACACCTGTAGGTATATGGGAAGCAATCAATGGCAAACATGGGTGATCAAGGTTCCTTCAGGCCACATTGAAAATTCACTTCCCCCTTCTTTTATTAAAGAGATTATTATAAAAAAGGAGGAAACTTACACAAATTTTATCAGGGTATCAGCTTACTTTCTTGGCTCAAAAACCAGTTTTGCTGTGACTTAACTCACTAAAGGTTATTCCTAAACAAATGATATATTTTCCTTTTTTCAGTGGTGAATGTGCCTTTAAAAACATGACAATTCCATTTGGTTGGGCAAAATACCCCATGATAAACAGAATATCAGAATTACCCAGTCATTTACCTATGACCATGATCTATGGTTCAAGGTCATGGATAGACAGAAGTATAGGTCATAGAGTTAAATATATCCGCAATGACAGCTTTGTTGATGTTCAGGTATGGTATGGTATAAGTTGTTATTATTTCTCAGTAAATTATAATATGTTTTGTGGAAGAAATTTCATTTCATTACAATTATTTGAGGAATGTCATTATTTCATTGAGGAAATTTTTGTCCTGTTGTACACTGTTTTCTGTGAAAAGCTAATAATTATCATAAAATTATCAAGGGCGGCATAACTTTTACGGAAATGGCTTTTGATTGGCAGATAAGGGGACATTATCCTTCAAATCAAAGAAAGGATTATCTTGGAATATACAAAAATTTGATATAAAGCTGTTGGTCATACCAATGGTCAAAGGTCAGAGAAATTTGCAAAAAAGGTCACTTTGACCTGCAAACTTCCATATGACACCGCTTAAATTGAACCTCGTTTAACAACAAATTGTACATCAAGAGTTTAAAGTTGTCGTTTAATTTCAATCATATTTGGTTTGATAGTTTCTGACGTCTCCCATTTTAAAGAAATATGTGCTTCCAATTTTTATGCATTACGCATTCCAATATGATATCATTTTCTATTTAACAGATAGTAGTAGGAGCTGGTCATCATGTGTATGCTGATAAACCTGAAATATTTAATAATATAGTTAATAGAATATGTGATAAAATTGACAGTGAGGCAGAAGATAAACTTAGACAAAATTCCAGTGTGGCAGAAAATCTTAGTTCAGCACAAAATGATAGTACAGAGGAAAATGATAATCAAGCACAAGACACTGAGGATAAAGACTACATGGCACAGCTGTAAAATTTTAAAGGAAATGTAAAGAGGTTTTCTTAACTTTTAAATGTATCAGGGATACTGATAGCATCGATTTACACCATTCCAATTTCCTGTCAGACTTCTGTGGTTCTTGCCATTCCATTATAACTAAGCGTTTTATGCTGTACATATCCCAAAGACTCTGATATATTCAGCGGCGATAATGAAGTCATATGTGGTTAAGCATTTCTATGATTACAGGAACCACAAACATCTGATGGCAAAACAGAATGATGCAAATAGATGGCTGCGATGTACATAGCTAGAAAACTTCTTAACACCCATTCCTTTTTATCTTTTTATTTATTGCTCATGAAATGCAAGATTTTAAAACGTCATTTTTATTCCTGTGTTATTTAGGAGTAGCCAATAGGGTAAATTATTTTATATTTTCATATAGTTCTATCAAACATAGTTAAAGAAAATTTGATTTTAAAATTTGGATATGAGTGGTTTTTTTTTTTGAAAGTGAAAACTTATTTGAACAATATTTCTGAGTTCCAACCCTTTTTGAATCTGTTTGTTAAGAATTTATTTTCATTCTGAATTTATAGGAATAGAATTTAAGAATTTTGTACTTGGCCAATAAGAGCATATATTCATAAGTAGATATACCTGGTATCATAAATACCATAACAGGATCCTTATACAATCAATAAATCCAAAAGAATTAGTAATTATCCATAAATATGCAATTAACTATTGAAAAACGCTTAATATTTACTTCGTTTTGTGAATTTTCAAGGTTTTCCAGATTTTACAGGGAGTCTGTTGTAACTTTATGACACCAGGTAAGTTCACTGATGAATATATACTCATATTGACCATTCTTGACTTAGTAACCCTTTAAGCAAAATCCTCTCTGAAAATATTTCAAACAATTATATTCTATGTTCTATTTTGTTTGCAATTTTCCATAACTTGTTTCCACATGAAGGAACAAACATTAATTTGAATTATTTGGTTGAGAAAGTATTAAATAGATATCTTCTAATTAATTCTATATATATTAGGAAAATGATTAACAGTTTCAATTTGATATCATATTATTTTTCTTTTATGAATTCATTGAAATATGAACAAATTACTAATATCATTTTTTGTTAAAATTAATGAATGTGTTATGAAGATAAAATTAGTTTGGATGTCTCCACTGGATAAAAGGGCCAAATTGAAGCTAACTGGTTGAGAAAGGCCCAATCTTATTAAAACAAGATTACAATTTTGTATCATTCTTGTTTTCTAGTGAATTTAGTCTCTAGTGTAATCTAACAAGTTTTCTCCTAAAATCTGGTCCAAAAGGTACAATTTTTAACCAATCACAGCATGTCACATAGAATCTTTTTCTTGAAAAAATAAGGAATTGTGGGATAGTGAAATCTAAAGTAAAGTGATATGACAGCCGTTTAAAGTTCCACTATCTCATAATTCTTCAAGGGCCTCATCACAGCCAAGGTTTTACTGAAACATACATCGTTGTTTGAGAAAGTGCTTATAACATATTTATGACTAAAAAATAGAACCTCAAGATATAAAACGATATATCATTAAACTAAGTAATTATTGAAAAACACTTCTAAGCATATTTCCAAATTACTTAGTTTAATGAATTTTTACTTAGTTTTATAGATTTATTGGATTATAGAGGGATTATGGTGTATAGTTATGACACCAGTTAAGTTCACTGATGAACACAGGCTCATTTAAAAATTCCAATTTATTTGGTCATCTTAAGAGGTAGTATACTTTAAAGTTCAACTAGCACTAAGCTCTGTAAACTACGCAAATGATGTGCCACTATTTTTTAAGAGCTAAATGTATGATTGTTATTTTGTAGGAATTTGTATTTTAATAAATGTGTTGTATTATGATATTTTTTGTAGATATTATTAAAAGATTACTGATAATTTCAATGTTTTCATACATTTATTGAGATGGAACAGAAAACATTTCTCATCCAATTTTGCTATAAATGTTTTGTTTTTAAAGGGACAGGCGTGCAGCGTATCTTAAATTGACGAGTCGTCATTTTAACATTCAAAAGCAGATAATTCTGGACACACATGGATTTGAAGGCTCAAATTTTGACGGTGAGCTGTGAACACCATTACTTATTAGCTCAGCTAAAAAATTTCAGTTTCCGAGACTAAAGTATGATTGGTCAAAAAAATGGCACACCTGTCCTTTTAAAAGGGAAATAAGATATTGGCATCAAAACAATTCTGTTATTTTCTGATATTTTCAATTGAAATTTCTAGGAGGGAAGTGTGTTTATTTGTAAACATACGAAACTGAAAATGTTATTAAAATGAAATGAAATGAAGCTTTTTATCCTATTTTTCTGTGCAAGATTGGGTAAATGAATATCATGCTGTGGGCAGTGGGGGAAAATTTTTCCAGGGCAGCTTAGAACTTTCAAAATTGTTTTACTGTAACAGAAGCAAAGTGGAACAAGTTGTTTGTTATAATTTTAGCACTGTAGCTCTCTAACTAACTTACTATTATTATGTTGACTTATCGGAGATGGTAGACCGAAACATCTGACTCTATTCCAGCCCCTGATAGGTATTTTGTCCACTTCAGCCTACAAATGTAAAAATATCTATGAGAGGCTGGTATAGAGGTTGATGTTTTGGATTACAGAGTAGGAAGCTGTGATAATAAAAATCAAATATTTAATTAAACTGAATAAAAATGAATTGAGTCAAAATAAAACACCCTATACTTTCATTTTAAACTATTTAACTGTGTGTTTATTTACAGTTCTCTCATCACCAACGTTCAGTAATAATAATGAAATAGTGCACTGTACACTAAACTTTCTGTAAGTTGCATCATGTATGGGCGTGGTCATACAGTGTCAATTATTTTCTCTTAGCCAATGGAAATTTAAAATACGTTGACGTAACGAGGATTCCCCGGGAATACCCTTTATTTCATCAGTAATGTTTATATCGGCCATACGGTACTGAACCGGCAACACAACAACACGTGGAGTCCTTATCTATTTTCAAAACTCAGCTTATTTTCTTATCTCGTGAATGAGAAAAATATCCCCCAAACATGACGGCTAAAAAACAAGAACATCTACCAGTAGTACCAGTTGAAAATAAGGAATCTGAAACTGTTGAATTGAAGAGACGATTAACTCTTTGGAATGGTGTTGCCATTGTTGTTGGCTCCATTATTGGATCAGGAATATTTGTGTCTCCAAAAGGTGTACTTGTCGAGGCCGGTTCGGTAAGTGTTTTACATCATATTAGAGAATGATTACAAAATTCCACCACCGAAGCTGTATTTCATTTGAAATCAGCAAGACCGGTAGTTATAGCAAACAAACTAATTACTTCCTGTAAATAGAAATCATTCTATTTCTATGACTATGTGGTGATGGGAAATAGGCCTTGCTGGATCCGATCTCCATATTAGTGCTTTGTTGGTGTATTGAAATATGCATATATATATCATTATCATTATATTTTGAGGGAACCAGAAAAGTCAGTCAAAATTTCTTATTGTGAATTGCCATCTTTCACTTTTAAACAGTAGCTTAATAGGACAGTTCTAGATAGATAAGCCTAATCTACAAAGCCTAAGAAGTCAGAAATGTCTACTGAATATAAACTGTGAATCCTTCCATAGCTAGGCCATCTATTAGGCTACTTGTTGGTATCATATTGCATAATATTTAAACCATGTAAATTTTGATTGTTATTGATTTTATCAAACACACAAGACATTCACGAGATGTTGTGTTCATTCAACTTGGATTTCATTGCAGTTTTGTTTTTTCAGTATTATTTTTCATAGAATCTTTACTCTGTTCATTGGAAAATGATTACTGCCCCTTCTTGTAAAGTGGTATTGAATGAAAGCTACAAAACAGTAGACCCTACTGATAATCTTAGACTGACTTTGCGTTGATAAAAATATGAACATGAGCACTCTTTATCATTTTGAAATTTGTTTTTTACCGAAGACAATTTTCAGTCAAAATTTGAAACAATTTTCAGTAGAAATTTCTCAGTGAGAAATGTGTTTCTTTTGGATGTAAACTTATAAAAAATTATATTTTTATCAACTCCAAGACTAACAGTATATATAAACACAATTTTATGGATAACAATTACTTTAATAAATAACTTGTAACGTTTCGACGATGATACTTTCGTCTTTATCAAGTAATAATAAAGTAATTGTAAAGTAATTGTAAAGTAATTGTTATCCATAAAATTGTGTTCATATATAAATACCTGAATTACTAAATGCCAGTTAAGGAAGTTTCAAGACTAACAGTACTATTTTGAAACCGATATTATAATTCTCATAATAATGGAAAAAATTCAAAAAACTTTTCACTTTGCTCAGACAATAATTTTTTTTCTTCTAAATTTCAGGTTGGGTTATCTATTATAGTATGGGCAGGTTGTGGTATCATATCATTGGTGGGTGCGTTATGTTATGCTGAATTAGGAACTACCATTACTAGATCAGGTGGTGATTATGCCTATATTTTAGAGGCTTTCGGACCTTTTCTTGCCTTCTTACAACTATGGGTAAGTTTTTTCATACTTAGATCTAATCTAATGTTTGCTTTACTAACTGATACTCAATTATCCATATCACTTATCAAAAAGAAAATCTGACGCCCTGTTTGTCTAATCGGCCCGTCATTAGGGTGGGGTCCGCTGGGGCTGGGCCACAGCAAGTGAGAATTAAGCACCAGCAAACCTTCTTCAGTTCAGCAGAGATTGATTCATTTACATTGTCAAAAAGATAAAGATTTTGATATGATTTTGGCACCTCAAAATTGTCAGAAATAAGTTCTCTTGGCCTGTAATTTTTCAAATTCTCTGAGTACTAAATCTGAGCCCCAGCACCAATTCATTCATGGCGACAGGGCTGTGTGTGATCATCCAAAAGGTCATTTTTTAAGATTTTGTATATGAAAGAAGTCTAACCAAAAATACCACTGATCCACTGATGGCATGGTATTATGGTTTATAGATTTAAATTCTACTTTGCACAATTGCTAGGCCACTCCGTACTTCTATGTTACGCTCCTAATAGAATTCAAACTCTTGCTTTCAATTGCATCATTATTTCATTGTCAACTGTTTATTTACTCAGTGTGACCACTCGACAGTGTTTTGGATGGTTTTATTTTTAAAATTGTTTACTGAAATGTTTACTGATGCACTTGTGTTATTTATTTGCCATTCATGTCAAACTGTCAAATTGACATTTTCTAAGATGCCTAATCCCTTATTTATTCAATTTCCTATCTGAAACATGCAATTTGCACGAACATTAGATTGCATCACTTTTCACAAGTTGGTGGAAACTTTTTTTTTTTTTTTAAATTGTTAATTCAATATTTTCGATGAACATTTCCATTACAATACAAAGTCTGTTATTTCCATTGTTTTTTTTTAAATTTTTTTTAATTTTTCAAAAAAAAAATGGGCCAATTTGTTTCAGGATGGGACAACCAACCTACACATTTACTGTAAAAGATGTGAAATGGTGCAGACGACTTTGCACTCTGTGCATGGCAGTGCTTGTCTTTCATTAGCCTGGTCAAGTGCAAAAAAGTAAAGCTGAAATCTATTTAATTTCTAAGCACCTTGTTGATTCCAAATCTGTATTAGTGACAAAATATTTAAAGGGAAAGCTGCAGGATTTCCGGTAGTAAAATTTGGGCCTTCAAATCCAAGTGTATCCATCATTATCTATGATTGAAAGTTATCTTAACGAGTTGTCATTTTAACAGATTTGAATATTTGAATATTGTTGATGATGTCATGTGTTTACAGTAAACTCAATCATCCTGTAAACTGTAAACTACCCACAGATACAACGGAAGATGTCTTGGTATCAAAGACTATATCAACAATATGTCAACTTTTAGATACCTCAAATTTCAGAGATAAGTTAAGCTTGTGAACTACATTAATTAAAAGTTAAATTTCTTGTTTGAGGTCTATTTGAAGGAATTATGCTATTTTTGTACAGTTTTAGTAGTTCTGAAGACTATTTACATAATATTCAAGTCCCAAATCGACCCCCTGAGATGCCCCATCTGTCCCTTTAAGTATGAGAAGAATTATAGATTAAATTAATTCTTTCTTGATCTAGTTTTTGAAATAGGAATATCTATATAAGCCTTATCTTATCTTTCTCTTATATTTTTAAGAAATATATATAAGTTTTAAGAATATTATGAATCATATGTTGATTTTAAATATAACTGACAAATACAGCCCTCTCAGTAGAGTTTCTACAGCGCCAGGGACTGGAGAGTAACAGAGGCTGGCCCAGTTTTGGCTCATCCCTTAATCTCAAATTTTTTCATTATTTTACATAGAGAAAGAATTGCTTGTGAGCAGTCTTTTAGTTTATCACTTTGTATTGGGGATTTGAATTTGGTTCATATTGCATGCACTGCATTTTAAATTCAAAGTATGAGTAAAGCCGCAAAGAGACAAAGTATGATGTGGAATAATTGATACAAACAAAGATAGAAGAAGTGAACATGCTAGGTACGGATCCAGACATGGTGCAGACACGATTCGTTGCTTCTGATTTCTACTGTATCAACAATTCTGCACCGTACACTTCACCGGACACTCTATACATACATTTATACTACTTTATTTATTTGGAAATAGTGATTCTGAAAACTGCAAGCTATAATAGCTTGTTAAAATCTAAAAGCTTATAATCCACTTTTGAAGCAAATATTGATACCATTATGTTCTTTCAATATCTTCATAACTTATAATGCTTCATTATTATTGCCATGAATTCTGGTCATAAACGCTAGCGCACACGAGAGCTCCTAGCTGAGCAAAATTTCATTTGTGCCTTTCAGCTGTAGCTCTCGTGTGCGTGGAGTTTACTTTAGGTTTTTTTCATTCGAGGCGTTAAGGAAATTATCTGTCGTGTTTGATAATTTTTTCCTCGAATGAAAAATACCTTACCGTGTGCTCACTCGAAAGCTCTTGGCTTTCAACTTTGAACTGGGGCGCATGCACTAGCACATGATCAAACAAAAATGGCTGCGTCCATCGGTGAATGCGAGTTTGTATCTGAAGCAATTATCGAAGACAAGTTGATCTTGGCGTCTTTGAATCCATCGACGTTTCAATAGCTTACGAGGGCTTTTTAAGTATTCTTCGTCGGCAACAACGCAACAACAGAAGAACATTTCTTCATATTCTGAATCATTCGTAGGGTTGCCGACGTCTGACATTTTGTTTAAGTCTCGTGATAATGTCACATGATCTAGTTATTTTTAGACGTTTATGTGTGTGGGAGGGAAACCAACGTAAGCTACGAGCTGAGCTGAGAGGCACAAATGAAATTTTGCTCAGCTGGGAGCTCTCGTGTGTGCTAGCCATATGGTTTGGAGCAATTCATATGCAGACTTATATTGAGAATTATGAATACACTGCTGTGTCCATTGTTAACAAAATATATTTTATTGCAGGTCAATTTGATAATCATAAGACCCACAGCTCAAGCCATAGTAGCATTAACATTTGCCTATTATTTTCTACAACCTATATTTGATACATGTGATCCACCAGATGATGCTGTTAGATTATTAGCTGCATTATGTATCAGTAAGTAACCTACTATACTTTCATTCTATCAAATATATTCACTGGAATCAAATGTATTACCCACAATAAAATATAGTACGTGCAATCAAGTGTATTACCCACAATCAAATGTATTACCCACAATATAAACGCAATCAAGTGTATTATCCACAATCAAATGTATTACCCACAATCAAATATAGTACATGCAATCAAGTGTATTACCCACAATCAAATGTATTACCCACAATATAAACGCAATCAAGTGTATTATCCACAATCAAATGTATTACCCACAATCAAATGTATTACCCACAATCAAATATAGTACCCGCAATTAAATGTATTACCCTCAATCAAATATAGTACCCGCAATCAAGTGTATTACCCTCAATCAAATATAGTACCCGCAATCAAGTGTATTACCCTCAATCAAAAATAGTACTCGCAATCAAGCATGTCAAATGTATTACCCACAATCAAATATATTCACCACAACCAAATGTATTACGGACAATCAAATGTATTACCCGCAATCAAATGTATTACCCGCAATCAAATGTACCACTCACAATCAAATATATTACCCGTAATCAAAAGTATTACTCACAAATTACCCCAAAATCGTCTTAATGTATTTCAAATTAGTACATATTTAAATATACCTTTTACTAGTGCTTTACTTAAATTACTGATCATATTTACTTTTAAGTTTGATCATAAAACTATTTAAATAGATGACTCAGTTATTGACTCGGTGCAAGTTAACCTTTACCATACAGGTAGATTTATATCACTGTCCTTACAAAATTTCCCTCATTGCTTACTGAAAGACATTACCTGCCTTCAAGAGTAGGATACAAATCCCCATATTTAATTTCATAGCCACAGTGATAAACATATTTTCACCTCTACCCTATTCTATTGTATATCAGATAAAGAACAGTAAGGTGTAAATAGTAATAAAAGATAATGCACTATGTATTAATATTTATATATTAGTTAGTGTTAACAGAGTCATTATCTTGTCTGCTCTGATAATTACTAACACATGTCAACAATTACTGACCTTTGCATATTTCACCTGTCCATGATCTTGGTTTTATAGTTTGAAATAGGCTACCTATTTATGGACTGAAACTTTACTCCTCCATGAAATTAGTTTCCACCTTTCACAAAATTGTTCATGAAAATAAATTGTGTATCAAGTTCTTGAAAATTTGCACTGGAGTCAAATTTTGTTAAAGCTTTACTTTGTAGAGTAAAACTGGTTGAAGCTATCTTGCCAAATAGTTTTTACTCATTACAATCTAAAATTGCATTTTCACTTCCAACAAAATTCTGATAAGCAATATTGCTACAATGAAGGACAGATCATTTTGTGACTTATCAATTTGGTCTGCTATTCATTTTTGGAAAGGCAGTCATTTTCCTAATGAAGACTAATTGAATGCTGAATGTTAGAGAAAATTTTGGGGATGGGTTTGGTGAATATGGGGAGAATTAACAATTTAGTAATTAATTCTGCAAAGAGCAGAAAAAAAGCAGCCATTTCAGAATAAAAGTACATGTATATTTGAATGCAGTGCTCAAAGTTAGGCAAAGTGTATTTTTCTGGGATCATTTTGGTATTTCTGAATAAAGGAAATCATTAAACATTGTTGCTGCAGAGATGATTATACAATTTACTGATCTAATTTGTTCACTGTATTGCAAATTTAAACTTATGTGACATCAGAAGTTCAGAAAGGAATATTCAAAAATAGTTGTGGCTAGTAAGTACAAAGGTATTAACTAGTAAGAAGTAAGGTATTAACTAGTAAGTAGTAAGGTATTAACTAGTAAGTAGTAAGGGAAACATGTTGGTTCTGTTCAGTGATCAGATAAAAAATAAACAATCTCTGATCAAAGTCAAGTATAATGATGTAAACATCAAATAAAAGTATTAGAACAACATGCCTGTGTGCATCACTAAGCTGATAAGATAATCCTTCTGTTTTTTTTCTTATCAAACAAAATTGTTGGCAAAAGAAAAAAAATGTTTTACCAAGTTGTACTCAGTAACAGTGCATTGCTCTTTAGCTACTAAATGCTGCATTGAACCTTTGCACAAAATAGAGTAGAGTTGTATTCATATACTGTATAATTCTGAATATAATGCGCACCCCTTCTTACCCGCGAGTAAGTCTGGACAAATTCATAGCTCTACTTTATATAGTTATTTATGTATTTTACCTAAAGGCTTGCCATATGACATCAGCTGTATTGTATATTAATATCACAGATATTGATATTGTTTTCATCCATCTGCTAGTTTTTTTTTATCATATGTAATAAACATTCTTATTATTAATAATTCTGAATAATTTTATCTGTATTTTATTATTCTTCAGAATTATAATATATATTGTTTTTAGTCTGGTTGATATTTTTAGTCTCACATGATATGTGCAACTTCCTTTACTTCAGTATGTTCAGTATGTTTGTTATGGAAACTGAACTAAAATCAATTAAAATAACTAAGGAAATTCAGTAATTAAATTGATTATTAATTAAGAATTGAATTTGAAATTAGTTCATATTTAAGCCAATCAGATGAACACAACAATAAAATCATCTAAAGTTTTTGAAAATTGGGCATTGAAGTTCTGCTTCTAAATGAATGGAGTTTTACATCCTACTTTTCTGGATCTAATTGGGTTATTGAAAATGGTAGCACAAACTCTAGTCTTTGATTATCATCAAGTCTGCAAAGATAAACTGATGCCATCATGAATTTTATTTTAATCTTATGTTATTTAACATCAGAAATAAATTGGAGATTCATATTATATCTTTTTTGCTAAATATCTATTGTAATAAAAAGGATTGTATAGAGGTTTTCTAAACTTTTTATGTATGTCTGGAACACTGATAGCATCAATTTACGGCATTCCAATTTTCATTCTGACATCTGTGGTCATTTCAATTCCACTAAAGCGTTTTATGACATCGCTAGAAGGGAACTGCATATATATTAATAGTAGCTTCCGGTAGCTCCCCTCTAGTGAAGTCAAAAACACATTAGTTTTAGTGGAATTGTATGAATCACTGACGCCTGATTGAAAATTGGAATGATGCAAATTGATGCTATCAGTGTCCCTGATACACATAAAAGTTTACAAAACCTCTTAACAATCCCTTTAAAATTACAAATGGTATGAGAGTTCAAGTGCATCTTTTTCTCTTCTTACATCTGATAACATGTTTTTTTTTAACTTTTGGAAACATGATAAGTGTTTATGTAGTGTTTTTTGAGTCTTGTCAGAACTAAGCTCAAGTAGAAAGTAAACTGTGCCATAATTATACTGGTATTTGTAATTATACACAAAAATGTTTTGTTGTCTTAGAAAAAACATTAACACAACATTAGTTAAATTAGTAATCTGGATTGTTTTTTTTTTTGACTAAACTAATTTGGATGAAGGCCAAGGTATTTTTTTTTTAACCTGAAAATTGATTTGGTGTTCAAAAGTCACACATTACTGTTTCTGTTAAAAAAAAAATTCAAGACTTCTTTCGTAAGCATCTTCTCATTTTTCAGAACTGTGTTAGCCTATCCCAATTTTTTTTTTAATAGCTCAGGGGTTTTAAGGGTGCAAATTTTGAATAGAATTTGTCCTCGATGTCCATTTTGACATGAGAGAGATTTTGATTTTGATGAAGACTGATTAAATAGATAGATATATATTAATATATTATTCAAATTGAACTAGGCATCCTCGTTTAATCAATTTCAGGTGTTAATTTTGCACATTTCTAGCATTTTGAGTGGGGAACAATGGAGATGAATAATTTCAGTTATAGTCTTTTGCTCTTGGTCAGAAAAGTTATGGAAAGTGGGTGGAATTCAGATATAATTCATTGCATCTCATCTAGAGGTCTGAGAATTTAACCCCAGCGTAGGTGGAAGTAGTATCAAAATCTTAGATTTTCCAGAGTTAGTGATGCAAGTTGACTTGGAAAAAAGTGTTGTTCAGATTGAATTTATTCCAAAAGCCATGTCCGTCTGTCGGTCCGTCCACAATTGCTCGTAAACACTCTACCAGGCACAATTCTTGACTGATTTCAACGAAACTTGGTATGTATTCAATGCCAGTCTGAATTAAAGAAAAACAGACTTGTGATGCTGTCCTGGCAAAATATCATGATACATGACACTGCTTATTCATAAATAGAAACATGAAACTCTAACTCATCCTAGAAACTGATGTATTTCATCAAGATTGAAATATTTTTGCATAAACATTATTTTTTTTATGACGTCTGCCAAGCTAGAGGGTGCCATTCTGACCATCAGTTTCATTGATTATATAATAATTGGCAATTGGCTCTAGATTTTGAATGGTTGGAGTCTGTAAGATGTCAGAAAGGAAGAACTAAGAATGTCAATAAATTCCACCTACAAATTGTTGATTTAATCTTAAGAATAATTAAGGAGTATTGGTTATTCTGGTTATATGGCGTAGGTTTGCCTTCCTTCCAAATTAAAACATTCATTAATTCACAGTTATACTTGTACTTACAGGCATTGAACGATGATTTCAGTTTCTTTTGAAATGGAAATTTGCACACAAAAATGCCCTGGTTCTTTGAAAAGAGTTCAATTGAAGCTTTGAGTCTTCATGCTAGTGATGGTTATCTTTATGTCAAATATGCTAATGTATAACTAAGCTGTCAAAAGGCATATGTTGCCTTCCCTGGCAAGCTTTTTTTGAGATATAGACTAAGTTTTGTTCTGGAATTGTCAAAAAATTTAGTTTTTGTAGGCCAAGAAAAGTTTCAAATGTAGCTAGATTATATCAGTCTTAAATATGCTGTCTTAAGGTAGTTATCGGAGAGACTAAAGACACTTTACTAAAAATAAAAAATATTTTTTTGATTGATACTGGGAGTTTCAGATGATAATTTTTTTCGTCAAGAATGAAAATTGCTTTTTTGTAACCAGCAGAGCTTATTGTAGCTGATTTTCGTTTTTCTGGAAATGGAGATAGGAAGATCTGTAAAAAAAGAAAGTAAATTGGTCTGGCCTAAGGATTCTGGTGTGATTATTACCATCCATGAACTAAAGAACTGTTACTAGTATTGAACAGTTATTGATTTGACATGTATCAATATTCAATGTTTTAACTGATAACTAAACAATCGATTGAAAATGCTAATGTAATACATCTATAATGAAGGGATTTAGACAATTCTATTCTTGGTTTATTCATAGATTTCAAGATGACTTCTCCTTGACATTACAAAAATAGATTTTCCATTCTTAAGTTAAAGGGACAGGTTCACCATTTATTTGACCAATCGTACCTAAGTCTCAGAAACAGAAATTTTGTAGCTAAGCTAAACAGTAATGTGTTCACAGCTCTCCATCGATTTTTCAGCTGCTAAATCCATGTGTGTCCAGAATTATCTGTATTTATATTTTAAATCAACAACTGGTCATAATAGAAAAGACATATATAGAAAAAGAAATTGAAGTTTCTAGTTTGAGGTATATTTGAAGGGGTTATGCAATTTCGGTATAGTTCTAGTACTTCTGAAGACTAATTACATTATTTTATTCAAGACCAAATTATTAAAAGTGATGTGGACTCTTTCAAGCAAACCCATAAAAGTTTTCAAACCTCAGAAGTAAAAGTACTTGCTCTTAGTGAAATTTCTTGAATTTTTTTCCAAATATACATTAACATTTTTATAGACAATTGGTCCCATTTGTTATCACTAGTTTTAGAAATGGGTTAAAATGTTTTTGTTAGTAACTGACAACCTTTTCACTTATTGCTACTGTTTAGTTTTTCTAATAGCTTCATTTTCATTGTTAACATATTTCACCGACTTTTTATTATTTTATATTATGGTATCACAATTCATTTTGACATATGAACTACTTTCCTATTTTGAATGTGTCCACATTTTGAGCCATAAAATGAAATGAGATATGTGTTCCCATTGTATTTTACCTGTACATTTTGTGATGAGATAGCTACAAAAAATATACCATTCTTATCTTATAAGACAGGGGTTTTCAACCTTTTTCTTTCTTGTACCCCTTTATTAACCTTTAACCTTTATCAATTGCAATATACCCACCCCCATATACCCTACTTCCTCTTATAAATCTTTCTATTAAATTTCAAAACTTTGAAAATTAATCCCTGGTTGAAAAAGAAAAAAAGAAAGCATGATGAATTGGACTACAATATGTTGAATCATACATTGATTAGAAAAAAATCAGTATCACTTTTCAGTTTAAAATTTGAAATCCTGTTCTGCTACAATTCTACAAAAATGTACTAAGGAATTATTTTCTCTTCCAACCAGGACATTGTCATTCTAAGTACCTCAAGTATACATATTACAAATATCATGATGTTGGTTTTTATCAAAATTGAAACTAAAGTGATGCTCTATCAGCTTCTGTACATGCCAACCAAATTTTGCTGACTTTGCATCTTTTAGTAGTTATTATTACTATCTCATATAGTAATTTTTAATTTTCTTTATATATGCTTTCAGCTTTATTAACTTTTATCAACGTCTACAGTGTGAAATTAGCTACCAGAGTACAAGATTTCTTTACAATAGCTAAATTATTAGCTTTGATATTTATTATCATTGCTGGAGTGGTGATGATGGCTCAAGGTAAGATAAGGGTTATGGCTTTGTTTTTCTCAACATACTTATAAACATATCAATAATATTTGAAACAGATGCTTATTATTATTAATCTGATATAGTCTTATCTGTTATCAAATATCTGTGCTGAAAGAAAAACACAACAATGTATGTTTATTATGGTTCATTTAATCTGATATAGTCATAAAAACACCTGGATTCCATTTCACAAAAATTCACAATCAATTGTGATTTTCTCAATGAAAAATTCCACACTTCAAAATTCTTATAGTTCTTTTTTTGGAAAATGGGGCCATTTTGCTAAAAGCATATATCCTTGTGTCGTTTTCATTCAAGGGCTCTAACATTGCTATAATATTTTGTTGGCTGCCCTAGGCTGAATATGAAAAAAAAAGAAACAACTATATTTTACAAGGATAACAACTTAGGTTCACAGTTAAGGATCCTTTTTACCAGCAGGTCCTTGGCCAAACTTCTTGTCATTGATCTTTCGTGAATTATCCTCTTGAATTTGTCGAACTATTTTAGGGCAATTTAAACAGTCAAATGTTAAATTTACTTCTATTATCTGGCACATATTTTCTGCTGACTGTGCTCTGTCATTAATAAGATTCTTATGATCAAAGTCTTGATTTGTTTCAGAAAGTTCGAGGTTATGAGGCTATTGAATTGTAGAATTGTTAAAGAAATTAACATGAAACATGAACAAATTTAATATTTGTACACCTGTTTATGTACAAATATATCAAATAAATTGTTTTATATTTGTAGGTGAGGTCGAATATTTTAAAAATCCTATGAAAGGAACCTCTACAGATGTTGGTAAAATTTCATTAGCCTTCTACTCAGGACTCTTTGCTTATGCTGGATGGTAAGTGTTATGTTAAATTGCTTCAAAATTGCTGATGATAGAGTTACAGATATATAATGTTAAACCATTAATATCCCAGAATTCTTAACATGTAGTTGGTTAATCCTGTATCGAACAGAGTATTTGATTGGTTAAATATTTTGATGGCCTTGAACAAGTGTTGCATTTCAATTTCATCAGATCACGAATGGCTGTGGAGTCTCTCACTTCAAGATACATATAGATATGCATTTTAATTTGATCAATTGTTTGTGTTTGTAACAACTATTTTTCTGACTGGTTCTTCAATTTTTGACCGCTTCTTTTTATAGGAATTTTTTAAATTTTGTAACAGAAGAATTAATAAATCCATTTGTGTAAGTACAAATATTTATTTTGTACTATATTTAAAGCAATCCAATACATGTATATGCTGTGTTGTTAACTTTTTTAAAATATACTTAAAGTGAATAAGCTAAGACTTCGAAGTAAGGGAGCTTGTTGAAAAAGGTTGATAGTCACAAAAGATAACCTCATGAGTTTTAAGTATTTGAATGATGAGAAAACTGGTCTCATTTCTTCGTGAAGCTTTGAATTTTCTTTTTATTCTCCTCTCAACTAATGAAATCCCTTGTCATATTTTAACCCGACAAATGTGGCTCTACCAAGTATGAAAAATATCACAGTAAAAGTTTTTGAGCTGTTCATATTCATATATTCATACTTTAATTTTTCAGAAATTTACCAAGAGCCATCTATATATCAATACCTATTGTAACCATAGTTTATGTTTTGGCTAATGTAGCCTACTTCACTGTTGTATCACCCTCTGCTATGTTAGCGTCAAATGCTGTCGCTGTTGTAAGTTTATATTTACTCAAGAGCTTATTCCTATACTGTTGATACCTATCACGTATGGCCTCAGATACCTTATAGACTGAATATTGAGGATATTTGCTTCCGAGACTGTCAGATTGATATCAGATCTTTATGATGTTAAAAGTCAGTCAATCTGACAAAGATAAAATCTGACAAAGGTGAAAATTAGGCCTGGCCTTTATACAATTTTGTTCTCTGCCTAGTGTGTCACCACATCTTAAGGTGGATGCTTTTTGACTATTAAGCATGTTTCTCCTGAACACCTAATCCCACTCTGTGACTTGATTTCTTAATTAAGCACCGTTTGTTGAAAGTCAACATAGCTTATCAAAATTCAAAATAGGTCTAATGCAGAATTCTTTTTCAGACATTTGGTGAAAGAATTCATTATTCATTAAAATACATCATACCTATATTTGTGGCACTCTCTACATTTGGAGGTGTCAATGGTCTACTCTTTACTTCAGGAAGGTAAGTTTGATCATTTTGACGTTTGGAAATTTTAAAATCATTATGAAATAGGATGACATCCAAGTTTGCAAATATCAGAATTTTTCAGAATTATTTATAGTTATACAAATAGTAAAATTTGAAAAATACAACCATTGACCTACTTTTTTGTAGATTATTTTTCGTTGGAGCTAGAGAAGGTCATTTACCTGAGTTGTTATCTATGATACAATTACAGAAATACACTCCCTTTCCTGCCATGTTATTTACGGTTAGTATTTTCTCACGTTTCTTCCTCCATTTGTCAGTGGTTTAACATAGAACAAATCTATGCAAAAGCCATCTTCACAATGTCAATGTTTAAGACTAAGTTCGAAAAAGTCACCTTTCGTGTGTAACAAAAGTTGGTATATTTAGAGATTTGATTGGATTGTATGCTAGCTAATACAGAAGAATATTGAGAACATAAGATGTATATTATGGTATGTCTGTATTGATGTTGATATTTAAATATATTCATTACAGGATGGTACGTCTGTATTGATGTTGATATCTAAAGATATTTATTACAGGGTGGTATGTCTGTATTAATGTTGATATCTAAATATATTTATTACAGGGTGGTACATCTGTATTAATGTTGATATCTAAAGATATTGATATCTAAAGATATATATTACAGGGTGGTACGTCTGTATTGATGTTGATATCTAAAGATATTTATTACAGGGTGGTACGTCTGTATTGATGTTGATATCTAAAGATATTTATTACAGGGTGGTATGTCTGTATTGATGTTGATATCTAAAGATATTTATTACAGGGTGGTATGTCTGTATTGATGTTGATATCTAAAGATATTTATTACAGGGTGGTATGTCTGTATTGATGTTGATATCTAAATATATTTATTACAGGGTGGTATGTCTGTATTGATGTTGATATCTAAATATATTTATTACAGGGTGATATGTCTGTATTGATGTTGATATCTAAAGATATTTATTACAGGGTGATGTGTCTGTATTGATGTTGATATCTAAAGATATTTATTACAGGGTGGTATGTCTGTATTAATGTTGATATCTAAAGATATTTATTACAGGGTGGTATGTCTGTATTAATGTTGATATCTAAAGATATTTATTACAGGATGGTACGTCTGTATTGATGTTGATATCTGAAGATATTTATTACAGGGTGGTACGTCTGTATTGATGTTGATATCTAAAGATATTTATTACAGGGTGGTATGTCTGTATTGATGTTGATGTCTAAAGATATTTATTACAGGGTGATGTGTCTGTATTGATGTTGATATCTAAAGATATTTATTACAGGGTGGTACGTCTGTACTAATGTTGATATCTAAAGATATTTATTACAGGGTGGTATGTCTGTATTGATGTTGATATCTAAAGATATATATTCACTCATTAATTATATGAGTTTTGTACAATGGCTATCTGTTGGTGGCTCTATCTTTGGGATGTTGGTTTTACGAAAGACTAAACCTAATATGGAACGACCAATCAGGGTAAGTGTATGAATAATTAGTTGATAATCTTATAATCTGTATATCACATAAGAAAAAAAATTATGATATTACTTTAATGTTGTTATATTTGACTTATATTTAACTATTTTTAAATTTTTAAGAATGCAGAAAAATTTCTTTTCCTGATTTGTCAAAAATTCATGAAGTTTGCAATTCTTTTCAGAGTAATTTCTTTATTTTTTGGTAGAATATTTTCCTTTATTTTTCAGATGCCTACTTTTATACCAGTATCATTTTTGATAGTAGTTATATTTTTATTAATTGTACCATTATATGCTGCACCATATGATACTGGTATGGGGGTACTAATAGTATGTTCTGGTATACCAGTGTATATATTAGGTGTTATGTGGAAAAAGAAACCTGTGGCCTTTACTAATTTTGTTTGTAAGTTTATGAATTCATAAAAATTTGGACAGGGAAACTCACTATTTTTCAAACAAGTTCTTTGATTAACGATTTGACAATTTTATGGGTCATGAGTCCTTAAAATTGATAGTCTTTGTGGTCTGAATAGTAAAGGTTATTTACTGGAGTTATCTCCCTTCAACTATTGTTAAAGACTAGATAAATGAATATTTATGTATGACCACATTTTCAAGACTGAATGTCTAATTTGTGGAGAAAAAAAGTAGTTCCTAGAAATTCCAAGCGGTCAGCTCTTTGTCTGTGAACTCTTTAAGCGGTTAAGCAGACTGAACGATAATTAAAGCTGATAAACTTTTAATTGGAGTGTCAATTTCCCTAGAAATTTGATTGGCTTACGGTGTCATCAACGTTCATAAGGCCGCCTTTAGATCCTAACTAGGGGAACTACTATCTACATTTATGTCGACTAATGTCTATGTTACTAATACTATTTATTTAGTATTTAAATGTCCTATTTAATTATTTTCTAGACAATATAACGAAGAAGAGTCAGAAGTTATTTTTGGTGGCGTCAGAAGATCAATCAAAATGTAGTTAGAGAGTATCATCATTCATTTTTTTTTTATTCATTCTTAGTGTTGTGATCTCATTTTAGTTTTGTCAATCCATATCCATGTCATAGTCAACATTGCATCCATGGCAAATCTTTTTGTTTCTTATCCAAATATTTTAATAATCTTGCTCAAATTTTGATTAGAGGACCAAGATACACATAAACTCATCTTTAATGTACGGTGTCCCATAACTTCCAAAAAATTAAAAAAATTATTGATACCCATAATCTGATCTAAAATGGTTTTTAAAAAAAATGGAAAACTTTTGTTGATACAAATATTAGCGTCAATTTACACTGTTCCAAGTTTCAATGAATTTCTGTGGTTCCTGCAATTCTACTAAGACTATGTGTTAGATGACGTCACTAATCGCAGATATACTTTATCACCTAAAGCCCTTCGCGATTAGTGACATCATCATTTAATGGAATTGCAGGAACCACAGAATGAATTTGTGAGGTTCATTTTAGTCTTGAATATATGCTATAAGTCTTCAGAATTGCTAGAAATGTACGATAATCAGTTAATTCCTTTGAAAATACTTCAAACTAGGAATTTTACCCGCTAGTTCTATATATGTGTTTTTTATATTATATCACAGGGTAACTTTAAATGCAGAGTTGTCATTTTAACATTCACACACGTTAAATTTTGAACAGACATGGATTTGAAGGCTCAAATTTTCGACAGTGAGCTGTGAACACTTTTACTGATTAACTCAGCTAAAAAATTCCCTTTTCTGAGATTAAAATATGAAAGGTAAAAAAAAAGGCACAGCTGTCCCTTTAAAAATTGGAATGGTGCAAATTGATGCTATCAATATCCCCAATACACATAAAAAAATTTAGAAATCCTCTTTACAATCCCTTTAATACATAGAGTAATCTTTCAGATACATAGTCCTGAGAATATGCTACATACCTGGTCATAAAAACTTTTTATCATATTTATTGTTTCTCATATTTTGATGTTCGTATGTTTAGTCGTGGGGCTTCCAATTTGGTATTTGGTGCTTCATGTATATAATTGCTAAATAATGTAGCTCCACTCTTGATATTATTTATGATATACAATTTATGACTTTTGGTGAGGTTGACATGAGGATTTATCAAACTGATGGGTGTACCAAGGCCAAGGTGCATATTGTATCCCTGAGGTTAATAAAGCCATTGTTAATTGACACAAAAAGTATCTTTTAAACGACAATATTTTCCCTGACAATCGAACCTTTATACTTAGAACTACGCAAGGGAGTCGCAGTGGCTCAGTGAGTTAGACGCTTGCTCGCTAACCTGAAGGTCCAGGGTTCAATCCCGGCATAGGTTGAGAAAATACCTTCAGATTTTTCAACCCGGTTTCCCCCTGTCAGTAATGCAGGTACGAGGGGCTGACATGGAAAAAGCGTCTAGTCGTTCGGAAGGGACAATAAACCGAGGCCCCGTGTGCTACAGTCTGTGCACGTTAAATATCCCTCGGCTAATGCCGCTGTCCTGGCAAAATTTCCCTCATTGCACCCTACATAACGTTGCCCGTCTTCATTAGCCCACATGGTGCAGAAAAGGAGGACGTAAAACTCCATTCATTTCATTTCATTTTTAGAACTACGCAAGAGTCAGTGAAATTAATGGCCATTAGCAATTTTTGTCCACTGTTGAATTTTGAAGAGTGTTAGCAAAACCAGCTGTGATTTTTGTTCAGAAACCACGAATCTGATTTAGGCTAAGTGGGATTTTCCCTACCTACATGTTATGAATTTTGTCTACCTCTTGTGCGTTATTGTTCGGTGAATATAATGTTCACACGGGAAACAATGTACATTATGAACCAATGAATAGAAAGATATTTTCTTGTTATTTTATAATGTATATTATCATGAAATCAAAATGTAATCTGAAAGTGCCATATTCATTGCTGCTTTCTATAAATCCATCCCCCTCAGTATCCAACTTTTTACAAAGTATTGCCGAAATTTTCAGTGTGCTTGAACCATATTTCTATTGTCTTGTTAGTTATTTATTTTTGTTTAATGATAAAATTGTATGAATGTTTTTCAAGTTGGAATTTTTGAGGTTTTGATTAGTGCTTTGCTATCACACAATCCATTAAACTGTTATTCAATATGAAATCCAATGCTTGAAACCGAATTGGGTTTTAACATTATGTGGCTTCAAAGGTTTATATGAATGATATTGTATCTATTTATAAAGTGATTTTTTTTCTATTGGAGAGGAACTGTAATGTTGATATCCATACCTTAAAGGGGCAGTATGCAAACTTTTCATTATTTTTTGGGGTAAAACTTTCAGAAAAGGAAAGAAACGCATACGCCTCTTTAGTATGCATTAATTTGAGAACATATATATTCAAACTTTAAAAACCAAACTTCCCCTTTAATCACTTTTTACACTTAAGACAGCTATGTTAGTGTATGTTATTTTCTTCGCTATGCTATCAGGGTATTGAATTGAATTGAATAGAGTTATGAATTATTATCCCATTGTAAATAGTTTTTAAGCTGTGATGCATCAAAGCATCGTTGTTTATAGTTGTAATGTTTGGCATTGTTGTTATTTTACACATTCTACAATGATCTCCATTTAGTTTACTTTTTGATTTGGAGATGGAGTTTTAAGCATAGTTATCTTTTTTAAAACTTTCATATACCACACTGTTGTAACATCAGCATTACGAAATTTTATGGTGGCATTGAGTTTTATATTCTTAAATGTCCATTTAGCGTGACAAATCTGGTCAAACCACCTACCCAATTCTTGAACGTGATATATAGATGGGATACTGGCACCTTATTATTGCCGAATAGTAATTAAGTCTCCAATACCTTTGAAGGTGTGTGGGTATACTGGCGGTCTTGGTCGGAGACTTTTGTCGCCGATTAGACTTTTGTCTTGAGTTTCGAAGACTATCACGGACACACGAGGAGACAAAAATCTCCAGTCGGTCGTTTTCCACCTTGTCGATAATCATGTGCGGTGTATACTGAAAGGAAAAGGAATCTGATGGATGATGGCGGTCTGTCTTGCAGACGATCAAACCTGTTTGATATTATAAATCCTGTCGGCGACGCGACAATCTTGTCGTGGAAGCACCGGCACACGCGAGCTTTTACTCAAGACTCGAGTCGGAGACAAAAATCTCTGACTAAGACCGCTCGGGTGCCCGCACCTTTAGCCAAAGAGTTGTCCTCCAAGCTCTTCACAAGTATGTTTTATTTCATATTTATTTTTGTAGGATTGTTAATAGATTTATTGTTGCATTAATTTAATTGTTTAAGCTAAATTTCTATGTTATTTCATGAATCAAAATATTTCTGTTATAACTGTTAAAAAAAATGAATATTTATTATTGGTGAAAACATAAACCTTAATTTTGAATAAAAATTATACACATTACTACAATGTTCTAGATTCCTAATTACTTATTGGACATTTTCTGTGAAATTTTTGAATGAGTGGGGAGGAGCCACATATTTGCAATATTCACAAGCACAGTTCCTTAAATTTTAGAAACTATTTCACAACCTCCTATCTGTCCTGCGTGTAGATTCCAGCGATATAACATACCTCATATTTCTCGTATTTCATGCGGCAGCTGAATTTAAATTCGAAAAAGAAGTGAAAGTCCGATGGTGCAAAATCTGGAGAGTAGTGAGGATGGAATAGTTGCCGCTGCAGTTATTGCTACCCAAGATGCGTTGAACGTTGTGATGTCTCCAAAATAACGTGGAAGATTGGTGTTAATATATATTCACCCATGTATCCCACATGCATTCTTTTTTTTTATCATATAGCCTTTTGAAAAGCCAGAATTATTCTATATAAAAGCCGTCTGTAATATCACTATTTGATATTTTAATAATGGTCCAGAGAAATGTAGCAGTAAAGAAATATACTTATTATACAGGTTTTGGATTGTTTGGATAATAACCTACAAAGCACGTGAAGAGGGTGGGACCAAACATGTCAATCATTAGATCACCAACTTAACCAATACATGAGGAAATCGTGCACATCTTAGCGCCCCCACTCAATAGCAAAACAAAAATATAATATGAATGAATGACTTCGATATCGCTTCTATCGTGAATATCTATGGATATATTTGCAGATAGTTAGCAATACCTCATCCTCGAGCTTGCCATAAAATATGAGAAGACAAAATTATTTTAGTAAGTACCGTTGGTTTATTATTTGCTGCTATAAGTGTTTTTAACTTTAGCGGATAAAATGAACTCAGACAAGAATTTAGTTGGGTCTGAAAAATCATTCATTAATGTAGTTACTTCCCTTCAATGCTTTAATGTTTCTCGGATTTACGTGGGTTTTTGACATCGAGTTATAAAATTTTTATTTCATATTGAGCAAAAGTTGAGCCTTTTTATGTGATTCTGTAAACAACATTTCCTAAGCAGAAATTTGAATTGTCTGAAATGTCAACGAAATAAGCAATTTATTAAAGCAAAATTGGGTTATTTTGAACTGTTAACTATTGGTCATTTTTAGGGCCTATATAAGAACTAAAAACGGCCCCATGGAAATTTGGAATTTTCAAGCCATTGCTTATGCAATCTATCTGAGACATTCGGCACTTACATTATAAAGGATAGCCTATATTTTAATTCTCTGAAAAAATATAGGTAAAGCGCGACCAACTGTGGTTTTGTTTATCAGTCTAATTTGAAGACTTATATCGGATTACATAATTCATAATTAGCCAAAATAAGAATTTTCGGACTATTGATTACATCACGTGATGCTCAGTCCTGTCAAAGTGAGGCCAAAAAATGATCATCCGATAAAAAGTTTCAGAAAGTTTCTGAAGGAAAATCTATGAAAAAATAAGAAGAGATGTGACATCAGATAAGGTAGGTGCTGATTGATGTCTTCTTATGTGAAGTTTACTTCAATGCCATTTTCTAGATCGTTTGTCAATTTTTTCATTGATTATTATTTATTGACAATATTGC